CACAAGAATATATTTACTTCTTAAAATTGCTAAGACTTGTATTATGGCCTAAAATGTGATCTGTTTGGGGAAGGATTTCATAAGTTGCTGAGAATGTGTTTTCTATTTCATAGATGATAGATAGGTATAGATACAATTCTTTGAGACGTTCATATATTGTGTTTTGATCATATTTACCCCCCTTCCCCAAGTCCTCCCAGATCCATACCCCTTTCCCTACCAACCCATCTTTATATCATCATTTTTAAAAAACACATCAAGTATAATTTTGCTGCCCATATACTCTTGAGGGTGTGGCCATCCACTAGAGCATGGTCAGCCTACCAGGGGCTATTCTTACAGAAATTTTTTTCTCTCCAAGAAGCAATCAATTGACAATAACTTCACAGATACAGGTGGGACTTCATGCTTACCTCCTCAGTCCATGCTGGAATTTTCTATGACTTGAGCTTGCACAGATCTTGTGCATGCTGTCACAACCATTGTGCGTTCATATGTATAACTGCCTGCTGTGTCCAGAAAACATTGTTTCATTGTAGTTACCTACCACCTCTGGCTCTTACAATCTTTCTTGTTTTATAGAATTGGGTACACCAATGTTTCATTCAATATATTTGTGTGTGTGTGTTACATGCATGTGTGTGCACATGCATGTGGGTGTATGCTCACCTTACTTTCAAGTCTCTTCACTGAATCCGAAGATTACTGTTGTTGCTAGACTGGCTGTTCAACAAGCCCTGGTATTATATCTGCCTCAGCATCACCAGCACTAGGGTTAGAGGCACTTTCCACCACTCCTGGTTTATATGGGGGTGCTGTGGGTCTGAACTCAGGCCAGGCCCTCATGCTTGTGCAGCAAGCAGTTTGCCCACTGAGCTATTTCCCTGGCCCCTCACATCTTGATGGAGTGCTTTTTTATATACTCTTCTTTATCTCTTTTGATGAATGAATTTTGGCTTGAAGTCTGCTTTGTCAGATAGGAGTCTAGCTATTCTGGCTTGTTTGCAGATTCTCTTTGCTTGGATTCACATTTTCTACCCTTTCAGTTTGAGTCCATGTGTGACTTTGCCTACAAGGTGGGTTTCTTGCAGACAACAGATTCTGCTTTCTAAATCTATTCAGCCAGTCTGAGTGCAAATGGAAGGACTGGGACCATTAACACTAGGTGATGAAAGCTTGCCCATTCACTGAGCTAATAATGCTTGATGCTTTCCATTTGTTTATCAATTCTTCTGGTGAGATTCATTGCTTACTAAGGTCTTGTGTGTGTTTTATATACTTTTCTGTGTATAATAGCCTTTTAAATATCTGCAATGCTGAATTAGTGGTCATGGATTGCTTTATCTATGCTTACCATGGAAGAGCTTAATTCATTCTTTGATTTCAAAGGATAACTTTGCTGGATATGGTAAACTTGGTTAGCGGTTATTTTATTTCTGGGCTTGAAATACATGAGTCCCTGCTCTTCTGGCCTGCTGCTGAGAGGCTCACCACTATTCTCATAAGTTTGTTTTTGTAAGTACGCACTGCCACTGACATACATTCTCACAACTTGTGTGTTTTTTTAAAGGTGTGTTTTGTTGTGCTTACCTAGGAGACTCTATTTTATTTACTAACACTATAGCAATATGGTTTGAATTGGCACCGAATTAACTTTAATGTCGTGTAAAATTGGTTTGTGCAGCTCTATCCCCTCTTTCATGTTGCCACAAAATACATCTTTATACGTTATGCACCAGATAAGATAGATTTGTACTTTTTACATATTGTCTCTTGAATTATATGGGAAATTTTTAAAATAGACTCTCAAAAAGTTCATTTTTAGAAGAAACTTTTCCAAACTTTTTTGTCTGAGGCTTAAGGTGGTCTACTATGTCTCAATCAGGATCTTTCGTCTGGGATTTTTGGATTCTACTGAGTTTTTTATGGTCTTCAGCAATGTGTGCCACTTTTCGCCATTAGTGGATTCGGTGTGACCTGAAGCAAAGATGAGCACCCTAAGAAAGTCCTTCTGGGAGCCCCATTTAAAGGTCTCTTTTTCTCGCATCAGTGTTTACTTCATTGCTGTAAGTCTTTGAATATATTTCTGATAAAGTGTTTCCTGACAGCTTCTGATCGTTTTCTTCTGAGTCCTTGGATAAGAACTTCATGTTGCCAAATCCACCATTTTGCTCACATCCTTTCCCATTCCTGGAATCTTGGCTTTTTTACATATCCGTTGGAACCTTTGGTAGAGTCTCCTTAGAGACACCTTATTTTCTGTATACTTCTGTAATTAGAGTGATAGACACAGAAGAGGGCGGGGCTGGTTTGAATTGTTTGTGGACGACCAAGACTTGAGGTGGGGGGGAGGCAACCTGGGTGTTAAAAAACTCTTTGTGAGGGCATTTCTCATTCAGCCCATTACATAACACTTTTAGAAGTTCAGAACTTTGAGCAGTCTCAGGAGAAATGGGGGAAAAGTTTCTCTAGCTTGACTTTAACCCTAGGGTCCCAATGAACTACGTTTCCCCAGTGAATAACTTTCCTTAGGGAAACATTGCCAAGAGAAAGAAGGAGGGAGAGAAAAAGGAACACCTGGGCACCCAATAGCACTATGCATTGTGGATTTTTCCTAAATGCCAATGTGAAGAAAACTCCCTATTTCACTGAGAGTGAAGGGGAATTCAGCTTGCTCTGGTCCACAGGGCAAGCTCAGCACAAATCAGTCAGGAAGTGGTCTGGGCTGGCTTCAGAAAGCAGTACAACTTTCAGTTCAGTTCTTTTCTCTGAGGTGTCTCCCAGTGCTTCACCTCTACAAAGGAGTGTAGGATGTATCAAAAGGAACATAGCTGGACAGGCCAGGGAGCAGCAGAACAGACTCAGCAGAAGGGAAAAGAGAGCGAGGACTTCTGGCTCTACCGCAGCCCAATTCTGAACACAGGCAGAGTTCCTTGCTGTTTTCAAAACTCCCATCTCTCTGAATTTTTTATATGGTCCTGACTACACAGGGATGGCAAAAAGCAGATTGCTGAGCTGTCCCAACAATTCTCTACTTACTACACAGTGGTCATTTTAGGCATCTGCAGAGAGAAGACTGAATTTTGACAAGGCAGTGTCATAAAGACAGAAGAAAGTAGACATATATGTATCTGAAATGGCTGTAGCAAAGGTAGGATAAGTCTTGTCCATGATTTATTTCTTCATTAATTCATTCATTGACTCGAGCACATTCATTGAGAACCAGCCCACTCTGTATTAGACAGAGTGAATAAGAATGGCAAGCTTCTTGCTTTCTTAGTGTGGTGATCACAGTGTGAAAAGAGTGACAGAAAATAGGCAATGTCAACATTCAATTTCAGGTGCTAAGGGCTGACAACATAAGGAGCTCTTACTGAGGTGCTACAGAACAAGGGGCACTGTGTGTTCTCTTAGAGAAAATGATGAGGAACAACACCTTGAACTTGGACACTTGAGCAAAGACCGAAAGGACGAAAGTGGATCCAAAATCTTAGGGGGCTTAAGCCCTTGTGTCTACTGCATATTGGTGATAGGTGAATATTTCAATTTTTTCATATGGTTTTGGGGACAACATATGATTGAAGAAGGAACAATGACTCGGAAATGATCTCTCAAATTTCTTGTTACATTGAGATCATGGCCATCTATCTATATTTATTACTCAGGTGGGACCCAGGATTCACTTTTGATGCCTTTAACTCTGTTCTAGATCTAGAGTGTTGAGCTCTCCTGAAGGTTGGGGTGTTGAAGTTGGACCAAAAGCCTCCTAACACCAGTCCAACATGAGGACAACATGAGACAAACAGAAGCTGAGGCTATAGGGGCCACCGACATCCTGGGTCTTCCTTCTGTCTTTGTGGTGAAGACATGTTAAGAGTCTTGTCAGGACATGGCCCTGTTAGATTCATCCCAGGTGCTGTTTATTCTACTTCTTCCCATTAAGATACACTCATTAAAGGAAAAAACAAGGAAGGCTTTCCTTCCAAAGACTAAGAAAAAACAAAAGGCAATCCACTCAGGCAACCAGCTGGCCACCTCAAAGACTGAAGGGGACTTGATTATAACTAATCCTCCAGCTAGACTTGATTATAACTAATCCTCCAGTTAGTTCCATATTACATCCTCATCAATCCACAGCAAGGACAATGGGGGTGAGAGGGAATCTACGATAGAGTGTAAATGAGATCTACATTCTGAGGAAATGCAGTAACCAAGTACATACCTCTAAGGAAATTCCACCGAGAAGTAGGAATTCAAAGGACAATATACTCATCAGGTAGGATAAATTAGAACATTCCTGGTGAAAGTGAGCTAGTGATAAAAAGGACCTTGCTGTGGTCTGAGAGGCAGGCACACTGGTTGTTAGAGCCAAAGGGGTTGTGGAGGCATTTGAACTGCATATTGAGAAATGGAGGGTGTGTATGATGGTAGAGAATTTCCATGTCTATAGAATGGTGCTGGTGACTGAGATCATCATTTGGCCAATTCAATATTCTTTGTATAGCTGGATGATTTTACATCATCACCAGCTATGTACTAGGATCAGGAGATCATGAATCTTTTATAGCCATGTGGAGCTTATAAGCAAGAAGAGATTATTTTCACAGCAAAAGACAGTATCTATCCCTTTTTTAAACATCTGCTAATTGTACAAATTAATTGAGCTTAGTGGAATATTTTCATATATGCCTACATTATTGACTCATCAAATCCAATCACCCTTTGGAGCATGCTCCAAACTCCCAACACTGTCCAATCTCCAATCATCCAATTCTGCTTTCAGATTGACATTATAACATCTACATATGAAAAAGCACATAGTATTTGTGTTTCTTTGCCTTATTTGACTTAACATAGTCACCTAGTCCCAGCCACTGTGTTGTACATAGCTGGACTGCATTACTCTTTATGTGAGATGAGAACCAGTTCTCTCTCTCTCTCTCTCTCTCTCTCTCTCTCTCTCTCTCTCTCTCTCTCTCAGAACAAGTGCTCAGAACTAAATGTTGGTGAACTACTCTAGTGCCACAGAATTTTTTCTGGTAGGCTTCCCTGGCTCCAAAGAACTACACCACATCCTCTTTGTGACCTTCATCTTCTTATACTCAGTGACAATACTAGGGAACATGGTCATCATCATCACAGTCTGTGCTGACAAGCGCCTGCAGTCTCCCATGTACTTCTTTCTTGGCCACCTCTCTGTCCTGGAGATACTGATCACATCTGTTGCTATCCCTTATATGCTCCAGGGACTGCTTCTCTTACAGAGCCAGATAATATCTCTGTCTGCATGTTGTGCACAACTGTATCTGTACTTTCTTTGGGAAGCTCAGAGCTGGCATTAATAGGAATGATGGCTGTGGACCGTTACGTGGCTGTCTGCAACCCTTTGAGGTACAGCATCATCATGAACAACCAGACTTGTATCTGGATGGTGATTGTGTCATGGGTGTTTGGGTTCCTCTTTCAAATATGCCCTGTCTATGCCACATGTCAGCTTACTTTCTGCAAATCAAATCTGTTAGATCATTTTTACTGTGACCGAGGCCAGTTGCTCAAACTATCCTGTGATAACACCCTTTTCACAGAGTTTATTCTTTTCTTAATGGCGTTTTTATTATCATTGGTTCCATGATCCCTACGATTGTCTCCTATACCTACATCATCTCCACCATCCTCAAGATCCCTTCAGCTTCTGCTCAGAGGAAAGCCTTCTCCACCTGCGCCTCCCACTTTGCCTATGTTGTCATTGGCTACGGCAGCTGTTTGTTCCTCTATGTGAAACCCAAGCAAACACAGGCAGCTGAGTACAACAGGGTGGCCTCACTGCTGGTGCTGGTGGTGACTCCCTTTCTGAATCCTTTCATCTTCACTCTTCGGAATGACAAATTCATAGAGGCCTTTAGAGATGGAATGAAACGTTCATATCAACTTCTCAAGCATTAGCACTGTCTCCTCATCTTCTCTGTACCACTCCAATTTTGGTATATGTGCTGCAGGAGCTAGCATGTGGCACTCTCTTAAGGACCATCATCACAAGGACTTGAACAATCTGAAAATACAGTTCAAATCGTTCTGCATTAATCATTCTCCCCATCAAGTGATCTGTGATCTACAGGGGGTTTGAAGATTCCGAGCAGCTCCCATTTGTAATTGGGTGGCACCTATGGAGAAAAATTACTTTATTGTTGTTATTTCTGTTGTTATTACTATGGTATTTATGATTGAACCCAGGGTCATGCACATGTTAGACAACTGCAGTATCACTAATCTATAATCCCAACTTCAGTTTGTTATTTTCAGTAGATCAAAATACTATATAAATATCCACAGTTATACTGTATTTCACAAAATAAGTTTTTTTAGTATTTATTTATTTATTTATGTGTATGAGTATAATGCCTGCTTGTCTGTAAGTGCACCGTGTCATGCAATGCCAGCAGAGGTCAGCAAAAGGCAACAGATTCCCTTGGAACTGGGCAGTTGTTAGCCATCTTGTGGGTGCTGGGATTCAAACCAGAGTCTTCTACAAGAGCAGTCAGTGCTTTGAACTGCTGAGCCATCTCTCCAGCCCTCACAAAATAAATCTGACATGTGTAATATGTGAAATATGTTTGCATTTTAGAATGCCAGAACCCATGAATGGGATAAAAAGTGAGACTGATTCTCTAACAACTGACATAAGTTTTTGATTCCAGGTTCCAAGAGCATCTTCCTCTACATGGTCCTGTCCTTTTCTGGTATAACCTGGTGTTCCTTATGGCTCCCCAGTGATCTCAGGACCAGGATCACACCTCAGTCATCCTTGCAGGTCCAGCTTTCAGGGTTCAGTAGTGATAGCCCCTCACTGGGGATTTTCCTAGTGGTAATAAGGAGAGAGCGCTAACTCCCCATCCCTAGTCCTTTGGCAGTCTCCAGCCAGGATGTATGTTGGTGCAGGTGCATCTCTAATCAGTGGTTTTTCTCAAGGTGTGGAAGGAACATGTGGAAAAGAAGCCTTTTCTTATCTAACATCACTCACATTGTGGAAACAGCCCCAAATGTGAGAGGCCATTTGCACTGTGCTCTAGAAGCAAAGTGACAGGCAGAGCTGGCCTTGCTGAGTCCTTGGGATGACAAAGGCATGAAGAGCAGACAGAGGAAGAAGCTACTTCCTTCTTTCTGTGCCTCATGTTCTTCCATAGTGACAGTCTGGGTCCTCCTGGTTCTCAGTCCACTCCTTATTCTGCCCAGGTCTCTTTCTGATTCCATTTCCTGTCTCTTCCTATGGTTTCTGCATCCATTTCCACCTCCCTTTATCTCCTCCTTTTTCATATCATGACCAAGTCTGCCAACTGTCTGCCACTGAGCCCTACACAGAGTTCTCCTAATGCAGGTCTCTATTTTGGTGTTGCCCTATTCTAGCCCCTGTTCCTGTCACACCTGCAGCCTGCATTATTTATGCATTTTGAAATGTCTTCTGCTTCATGACACAAGTCACTATATAAGTTGTATGATAACCCAGATGGACATCATAATGTGCCTGCTGAAATGATCATGGGACTTCCATTTGCTTGAATATTGCAAGATGATAAGAAAAATAGGAATGTTTCTGTCATTAAAAAACAAACCTCCAGAATACATTGCTTAGTAAGAAAAAACAAAGAACAGAAAGTTTTAATTGTTCGTTTTTATGATATAAAACTAGTTTATATTCATATTGGATATATGTGGATGAAGCAAATCTGGGAGGCTCCCTCAGGGATGCGGTGATTGGAATGGGACTCGGGAACAGCCCTGGGAGACAGTGTGAAGTGCTTTGCATTGCCTTGGGTTCAGTTTCATTATTATGTGACGACTTCGCCAACAAGAGCGATCGCCCTGCTTGCAGTCCTCGAGGAAGACTTGCTTATTTGTGAAAATATCTCATTGTGACAGCGGAGATATCTTTAGTGGGTTCAGATAATTGGTAAAGTGTCTATAAAACTTAATAGACAAAATGGGAGGAAAAGGAGATGGATTGTTCTTGTCCCGAAGCCTTGGCTAATTTTAGATGTAGAAATGCTCTGTAGATGCTTCATTTGCCTATCTTATGTACGTTGCGGATAACTTGGATCAACCTGTTTATTTTGTATTTCTCAGTTTTAAATAAAATATTCTATCATACAGAAATATTAACTGTTGTGCTTTTCTTCCAGTATTCACATTTGTGTAGATTTCGGGGTGTTTCATTTTTGTTGTTTGTGATGTATTGTTATTTTGGTGGTGGTGATAATTGATTTGTTGCTGTTGTTTTGAAACCTTGTTTCACTGTATAACCCAGGCTGGTATGGAACTCACTGCGTAGCCCAGGCTGGCCTCTAACTTGTGATCCTCCTACCTAAACCTCCTGAGTGCTGGGATACTGATGTGTGTCACGGTACATAGTTTGTATATATTGCCTTAAAAGTCCTTTTCCCCTCAAAAGACTTAACAATAGTATCATACTGGATATATGCTCTGACAGTTAAATATAATCCAAGCATTAAGACAAAAGAATGTGGAGCACATACATAAAGTGTTTTTAAGTATTTTCTGATGTCATATTGATGCCAATAGCACTTCTACTAAGAAGTAAAGCAGATGAATGATTATTAACATAGAAAAATTAACTGAAGTCTCTGGAGTCTTGTGTGTGGATTCTACATATAGAACTGGATCCTTGGGTTTTTTATGATCTTCTGATTCTGTTAATAAGTATCCTAGCAACACTGACCAATTCAACAACACTGAGAATTCCTAGACCTAGATTCTGCAATCTATCTATTGATACGAGAAACCAAGGCTTCTTAAGAAATGACTGACTCCAGGTCTATTGTAGAAAAATCTACAAGGTCAACTTTAACCTTGGAACAGCTCGTCACACCAAATGGCAAAGATTGCTTAGGTTAGAAGAGGAAAGGGCGAAGGAGTCAATTGGGGAAGATTCCTACTGGCCAATATGAAAGAAATTGTGCCTCAAAAACTATAATAATTCCAATCATTTGAAAAACATCAAAGCATTCATAATAATATTTTAAGAAGTAGTCACTTTTCAACACTGACTATTCTTGCAGATGACCCAGGTTCAAATCTTAGCACCTGCATGGCAGCTAACAACTGTCCATAACTCCAGTTCCAGGGGATCTGACAGCCTCTTCTGTTCTCCGCAGGCATAGCACGACATGGGTGCACTTACTTATATGCAGGCATAACATACAAATAAAATAAAATAAAATAATAAAATATTTTTTAAAAGTAGTCACTTTCAGCCAGGTGTGGTGGCACATGCCTGTAATCCCAGCACTTGGGAGGCAGAGGCAGGTGGACCTTTCTGAGTTCGAGGCCAGCCTGGTCTACTTAGTGAGTTCCAGGACAGCTGGGGCTCCAGGCAGACCTTGTCTCAAAAAGACCAAAAAATAAAAAGCAGTCACTTTCAAAAGATGATAGTCATTATTTATCAAACCAAAATCTGGTCAAGCCTCTAAAACCACCTACCAACTTTCATGGAAATATGAAAGAGTGGGGCCTGCTATATGGTTCATGGGGAAGGGCACCTGCCACCAAGCCTGACAACCTGAGGCCATCCCTGAAACCCACAGGGTAGAAGGAGAGAACTGACTCCCACAAGTTGTCCTCGGACCTTCACATATATGCTGTAACACACACACACACACACACACACACACACACACACACACACGGTGGGTAAAGGCACCCGCTGCCAAGGCTACTAACCTGAGTCCAATCCCCAGTACCTACATTGCAGAAGTAGAGAACAGACTCCAATGACACAAAATAGTGGCACTTGTGCACCCACGTACATACACACAATAAAGAAATAAATATTTTTAATATGCAAGAACTGAAAGACATGCTTAACTGTAGTACAAGGTCAGAAGCAACTCAACTGATGATTATAGGAAACTCTATGGTCAAAATATCTGACTTCTTCAACCAATAGACAAGGAAGAAGATTAATCACATAGACTTTGATAATATATTGATGTTTTAAAATTAGATAAGACCAAGCAGTAGAGTGTGCCAATTTACTGGGGTGAGAAAACCATTAAGGATGTGAGGAACTGATTACTCCAAAGCCAAGGTCATAGCTGCCTCTGAGCTCATCAGATCACAGTGAAATCACACAGTGCAGCATGGCAAGCACTGTCAGAACCCCCGCAGAGTTACTGCACAATTGACTTTGAATTAATTTTTGGTCATTGCACATTCAGGAACCTTTTACTCTGGCCAAATTTTTCATGATCTCCACATTCAGTTGCAAGAAATGACACAAGTAATGACATTGACAGTCTAGCCTATAAAGAAACTTCCCTGGCAATTTGGTACATGAATGTCAACAATGCACGCAGCTACCTGCTGACCCAAGGCTGCTGGTGTTGGCCTTGGAGGCAGAGGGGCAAGGCACTTGAGTTTTTGTGTGTGCATTGTGTGCATGCACACACATGAAAGTGTCATAGGTGTATAACCTACAGATAGCAATTTCTAGTGAAAATATGGCCGTTAAACTTTTACTTAAATATCTTTTCTAAATGTCAACGAAGAATAAATGGAGATTTCAGCATCTTGCAGCATATGCAAATGTTGGAAGGCATCTCTCTTTCTAATTAAATTTATTTAAATCACATATATTTATGGGCTGTAGTATGAAACCAGTGCCCACGGATATGTAATGCTCAAATTATGGTAGTTAACATTTTAGCTATCTTTATTTTTGTTATTACACAATATTTAGACATATTTATGAATTATGCTGTGGTGTTTCTATACATATATACAACGGCATGAATCAACTCAGAGTAACTGGCATTTCCTCTCTGTACCCTTACTTTGAGATTGGAATCTTTGAGTGTCCCTCCTGTAGTTATTCATGAATGGGTTGCCATGAACTATATAACCCCACTATGCTGTAGAATATGAGAACTTACTCTCTGTGTTTTGGTACACTTTGTCCAACTTCCTTTACTTCCACCCCCACCACACGTTCCAGCCTCTAGGAAGCTACATTCAGATCAT